TAAACATATTGGCAATGTTCTGACTCCCTGTTATGCCTCCCACTTCCACAGGAAGGCCCGCCCGTGCATTCAGTCTATTTGTTTGTTGCCAGAACCTACTAAACTGCTTAGTCTCGTGTGTAGAGGCTAAAATGTCCATTTTTATTTGATCTTCATGGTCCTGGCACCATTTTAGTTTATTTTTGAAAAGCCTACGAGACTCCCGCATATCGTCGTATGTAAATCCACTACTCGGCCTCCCAGCCATAACCCACGACTGAAAACACAGACGAGCTCTCCCGTGTAGTGGCCTTACATGCCTATTCCACCCCGTAACACAACCATTACATACGTGTAACTCTTAACGATTTTTGCAGCGCACGCCAGAGTAGCTGGTAGATGGTTTTTTGTCTTGCTGAGTTCTGAAGCTAGCTAAGTTAGGTTACATAGGTTAGTTTTTCAAGATTTGATTTTATAAGATATAGTATTATTTAAAAAAAATAGTTTATTGAAGTCGTTTCTTTTTTGTTAAAAACTTTTTATATAAAATTTCAGTCACCTCATTTAACATCTTAAGTAATACTTCAAAATTCTTAAATGATGTAAAAAAATAGACCAATCTTTGTTCTCGTATTTAAATGTATCATATTTCAAAAATCAACTTTAATGCTCTGTGGTGCTCAATCTCCTACAACTCTTATTGAAAAATTATTGGAAGAGGCATTGTTGGATTTTCGCGCATGATAATACATGTGCGAAAATGAAAAAATTAGGGGAAATATTATCTTATACCCTTAAACGAGCAATTCCTGTATATATATATATATATACAGCGTGTCGTTACAACCGCGATAATAAATGAACACACGTATAGAGGATTACTTTTTAAAATTGTATTAAGCGTTTACATTCTTTAAACATCAATATTTACCGAGTTATTATATTTTCCAAAAGAACGAATTTTAGAACACCCTTACGTATAAAACTATAACGTAAAGTTCATTTCTAAAGGTCACAAAGCATATGAATGGGTTGAATGAATTTGAAAGACACAAAACATACTGTTAGAAGGAGAGGCTTGTAATGCGACGCTGTGGCAACGAATGAAAAAGTCTCTTAATGTATGAATCAGTCAGTTGTAGTTGTAATTGAAATTTTGTTTCTGTTTTTACTTAATTAGTTTGTTTGAAAAATACTACAACGTTAATATTTTTTTTTTATTATAATATTTTACATATATATAATCGGAATCACGGAATGAGATTTAGTTCGTGCGTAGATTCGGGGGCGAAAAATCGATCTGGCTAGGTTTCATTTTTAGAAAATGTCGTTTTATCCCAGTTTTCAGGGAATGAAAAATATCATTCGAATACGACGGTAAATTTCACCGAAAAAATAATGCTATAATAGCTCGCTCAGTAATCGGGTGGCTGGGAAACTGAAAGCCGTGGTTCGTGTCACGATCATTTATACTACACACTTATTTTTTATTTTTTTTTCGATTCCAGTTCATGGCTTTCTTTATTTTTTATCGATCCAGATGATTTTGTTATTTGTTTCCCTTTTTTTTTAAAGTTCTTTCTTTTCTGAAAACCACCAGTTCATATTTTCTTATTATTACGTCGGCAAGAAAATATTATGCATATTTCATTACTCAGTAATTTGTATCTAAATGTAATTTCCAAAATACACGATTTACAAAAAAAAAAAACAAACCGAGCAAAGCTCGACCTCCAGATACTATTGTTTAAGTAAACATGGCAGCGATGTAATTAAGTCAATTAGAAATTTCTATGGTGAATCATCTTACTTAAGGTGTAGATTTTTTGTTGTCCCCTTGTATCAAACTAACTAAGAAGTTAGTTTGATAGAAGGAAAGAAAAAAAAATTAACTTCTTAGTTTGAGATAAGAGGGCAATTTCATGATTTTTAATAAATACGGCAATCTGACATATCGAAAATGGCAACTCTGTAAAGCTTGATGGCAACACAGAAGCGGCGGGCAATAATGTAATCAGTATGGCGTAGGCGCCCGTCGTGGTAGGATCTGTGTCTCATCTCCCGCGTCCCGATTTCGTGCGCTCGTATTGTATCCGCATTTATACTGCGACTACGTTTTAAAGTTTAGTATTATTTTTTTGGATTGACCAGGACCATTCCACACACAAAAATAGGGATTTTTAAAATTCGAAAGAGTTGTGAGCGATGACGTTTTTAGGTAGTAGGAAATGATTTTTAAATTGACTTGATTTTACCAAAACTGCGCATTGCTCGAAATCATAGACCCTACAAATATTCGTTTAAGGTAACCTCCACATATAAAAATTAATCACTGAATGTGTTGCTAAACGCCAATCTCGAAAACAGCTGAACCGATCTCGCTAATTATTTTTTTACTAGATAGAGTGATTCAAGAGGAAGTTTCATAAATGTATAATACATTGTACCCGTGCGATACCGGGGCTGGTTGGTAGTAAAATATATTAAAAGAATTACTACCCCTACTTATGACATAAGCACAAACCATAAATGGATAAGTAGGCTTCAATGTTGACACATTGATGAATGATAATAAATGAAATAACAAAATATTAGTTGACAAAAAAAAATAAAGATATTGTTGAAAACAATTGTGTCCAACGCCAAAACCGCCGTACCAAAAAATTTTGTGACTATCTACATAAACTAACGTAATTTCTGTGAACTGAATAATCATTTTTTGACAATACATAGATTTTAAGCGGACAAAGTAGCGGGCCAGTGATTTTATAAAACTCCTTGAAGTAAGATGGGGAATTGGGAATTCGGGGATCGACAAGATTGTTGATGATGAAGAGAGATGATTGATGATTTTTCAGAGATTTTTTTTATAAATATTACATAAAGTAATTCTGGTTTTGATGAAATTTTTTTTTCTTGAAAACTTGATTCAATGTGTAAAACTATGGACACTCAAAATTCTAATCTCGTAATGTATGTATTACTTTGATGATTTTTTCTAAACACTCACGCGAAGGGCGAATTTTTGTCATAACTAATTTGACAAAGTGACTACACCGCAAAATTGATGGCCAAAACATGTTTGCGATATGGAGGATGCGCGTGTTTCTTTCTTTGCCGAAGTATCATTTTCTGAAGTTTGCGTTTTGCTGTGTAAAAATGGCGAACCAACGTTCGAAACTTTCGATAGTAGCAAAATTACTCAGGGATTAAAATATCCTCAACACAAAATTTTCAATGCCCCTTGAAGTGGGCTACAAAATTATGATAATATATAATAATGATAAATACTTAGCAATAATAATAAACAATAATCGCTTATCGTAGACCAGCCGCATAATTATTAAAGACAGGTCTTTATGCACGTAAGAAATCCGAAACCCGAAAACTTATCAGTGTATTATAGTAAACTAGACTAGTAATACCCGAACTTAATTGCTTTTCCTACCGTTTTTGGTGAGTACAAATAATTTATTAAAATAGATACACTTGACTATGACCTAATCTTGTATCTGATAACTGATGTTTTTGCTATCAGTCCCGAAACTATTAAAGCTTCATCTGACGCAGAACCGGTGGGCCAGCCAGAACCCACGGGTTTGGCCCCTCCCCTGTGGGTAGAGCCACGCCTGTGCTCATGCGTGCGTTTAAGTATGGTGTGTCATCTAAGGGCCATCGAGGTCGCAGTTCGGACCGAAACCCCGATGGCCGTCGACTGTGCAATTAGCTAATCGGTGGCTGGGAGCGTTGAGAACCGCCCCGAAACGCGGGTGTACCTTGTGTACGCGTTGTGTTGGTCTCGCCGTGCTCGGAGGCGAGGGCGAACTAGTGTGTTTGTTTTTTGTTTGTTGTGTGGTGAAGTGTTATCCGGCGGGACCCCCGGCGGTGGGTCCGGCGTATCTAAGTCCCCTTCCTCGACCACGTCGATTAGGACGTTTCGCGGGCGACGCTTGTTGACGTTCGCGTTTGTGTCGGGTTGGTAATTTTGACCGAATCATTACTCTCATCACAAGACTGCAATAGTCCGCTGTTGAACAAAGCCTTTACTCAAGTCACGCCACATGAAACTGCACATCTTCAACTATGTGCAAATATGTACTTGCCACCGGCTTTTATTTGCCATCACGTTGATTTGAGAACACTGTTCATTCGCCTGTATGTTCGTCTATCTATAAATCCCCTGCCGAAGTTTTGGATAAAAATTAAGCCAATAAAAAAAATACCAATTTTGATACCAGTTTTTTAAGTTTTTATGCATTTGTTTTTATTATTATTATTCAATATGTAGCTATGGAGCGAACTATGCTCGGTATTTCTCGGCGTGAGAGAGTTCGTAACGAAGACATCCGTAGTAGAACAAAGGTAACCAACATATCTCAGAAGGTTAGTAAGCTGAAGTGGCGATGAACCGCCCATAAAGCTCGTAGAACTGCTAACCGTTGGGGAAGAAAGGTTTTCGTAGCTTCAGTGTAGGCTGTGGGGGAGACCTATGTTCAGCAGTGGACTCAAACAGGCTTAAATGATGATGATGATCTACCTTGAAGATACATATTGTGATGTCCGTTCTTATTCTTCGAATATGACTTTGTCCTACCCGCGACTCTACATTGTATGTTACCTTGTCAACCCCTTATTTTATTGGATGATTTATTGTTTACCGCAATAACAAATATCGTGAAAAATGACATCCTGCCATCTAACCCGGTTTAAAGCAAAATCTTTAAGCGTTAATATCGCCTTGAAGGTAAAAGTTACGAACAGGTAATAACACAGATGAAAATTATAAGACTGACTTAGAAAGTATTATTTTTAAATATGGAATATACTATACCTATTTCGTTACAGATTAATTGTATACGTAATAAATAATGATACTTATTATTACTGAATAATTGGATAAAATAGAATATTATCATATTTCTGTTGTTGAAGGAAAAAGTGTGTAGAGTTTAATAAACAAATTGGAAATCGAATATTCGGGTAATAATTCTTTTGCAAGCATAAAAATAAACACAACTTACCTGAAAATCGAACGAAGGGAATATAGAAACGGTATCTATGTCAGCGACGCCCTCCTTTATTACTGGGCATTGTTCGTGTTTTATCTGTGACAAAAAGTTATTGACGTTACTACACCGTCAAGCTGCATTTGCTTTAGCGATGTCCCATTTCCTTCGCTGATTTCAATCGGTACACCATTTCCTAGTTATCCAACCGGAAAATGCTAACTACTAGTATTGCAAGAGCTATCTGCGCTCAATTTACTCACGGGCACTATAGTTTTAAATTACTAGTAGGCAAAGTTTAGACAACTACCGCTCAAAGGGCGGTAGAAAGTGCTAACAACCACGTGTGTGGTGCACGTTGTTGGTAACACTTTCTACATATCACAATGGCGACAAAACCGCAATGGTAATGTAACTTTGGTGCTTCGGTAGAAAGTCCCGTGTACTCTAGTGCAATAAGGTGGGATGAATTTGCAAAATAAAAGTAATTCAACTTTATTGAAGGACAACTGTAAAGAGATATAGTACAATTCATTAATGATAACTTAAAATATGTGATAACCTCAAAACCGAAAATAACTATAAAACCCAAAGGTTACCGATAAGTATAATTACAATGACTGTAGTTAAGAAATCAGAGAAATATTTCTTTTTAGTTCGTAAAACCTTCATGAAAACGAGTCAATGTTATTATCCTTTCCAATTGGTATTCAAAGTTATTTCTTTTTTATTAAATGCATTGATAGCAATAACATATATTTTTTAATTTATAATAAGGAAACCCAAATATTCACCGCAACAAATTCCAATAAGAAATGTTGTTCAAATTAATCTCGCGGTTGAAATATACTCGCTCGAGTACTTTTAATTCAAATACGGAATTGGCAGAGTGAGAAACTTCTGTGTGAATTGAACCGCAGACGAAAGCTAGAAATAGATGGGAAAACTAGTTTTACGTGAAGAATCATTGCACTTTTGACTCCTTGTTTACGATATATTTTTTAAAATTAGAGCCATTTATGGTTCCAAGGTTATGTGTATAATAATATTCAATTATGAAAAGGTTAATTTTATTTTACTAAGATTTTATTATCTGTCAATCTAATGATTACCAAGGATATAAGAAAACAACTTAATGCAGTATTTTTGTAATTTATTCTCTTTTATGTAATAATTCATTAAATATATGAACCTTATAAACAGATATATAAACCATTTAGGACACTCGCCACTTGCAAGCCGTTGCCTAATGTTTAATTTAGAGGATGGGATTATTTTACTCCTCGAATTTAATGTGTAACTGGAAATTATGACTAATTAGGTTTAGATTTTAGTCAAAAATTTTCTGGTGGTGTCAAAGTTTCTATCTTTACACAAACGTGACGGCCGGACGATAAAAAAATCTTCGTGGGATAAACGTACCGCCTGGTTATTATTATTGGTCTAAATAATATTAATCTTGCTTGGTGAGCAATGTCTATGGTCGCAGTCTGTTTAAATATAAAAAAGATAAGATTGGATACAATTAAAAATTAAATTATAAATCTTATCGATAAAAAAGTAAAGTAACGTATCAGCCTATAGCTGCCCCACTGCTGGGCAAAGGCCTCTTCTGTACAGAGGGTATCAGGGCATAGTCCACCACGCGGCCCCACTGCGGATTGGCAAACTTCACATATTTTCGAAATATTTTATATTCTTATCGATAGACTTAATAAAAAAATCAATTATTAAATAAAACTATTTCAATTTTACTCCTTATTTTAGGACAAAACTAAGCCATGTTTGAAATGTTAATAAGCGCATATCTAAACGCAATGATCGAGAAATCATGAAATATTTGAGTTACTTATTTTGCACGTGCCCTCCTTTTTTGTGAAACCTTTATAAAACAAGCTACACTACTACTACCATTTTATTAATATTGTGAACATCGCATCTATTTCCACTGCAGGCCTTTCCATCCTCTCTACACTCCCTACAAAGCAGTGGCAAAAATAAAGAAACTCGCAAGTTTATAAACGAATTGAAGTTAATTTCTTCTTGGTTAAAATTAACATATCAATAAAAGAATTTCGTGACTACTTACTTTTTCCGGTTGTGGTTTTTCGTGAAGAAAATGCGGAGGTTTAATATCATCATCATTTTCCAAGGTAGCAACGTTGTTACCTGAAAATAAAATAAAAGTTGAAACAATTGTAAAACTTAAATAGGAACCATTACTTTCGAGACTTTTGTTGCGGCTGTGATACAATGTACTGGAAATAAATTTTGCTAATTATGGTTCATCAAATTAAAGAAATACATTTTGACAGCTCTAGAATAAACTTATTCAACAGTAGTACGAGTATTGGCTAAGTTATTACACATTTTTACTATTAAATAAAAATTTAATTAATGCTTATACAGTCCTCAACATGATTAGCTATTTATTTGTACTTTAATAATCTAGATTTTCAGTTATTAAGCATAGTAAAGTTTCTTCAAACATTTTTGTATTGAATAGCGCGTCTCGGATCTCAGTCCGCGCACAGACGCGCTTATGGAAGCATGGGTGTCGCTTTTTTGCAAAAAAAAAAAATAATACGACTAAATTGAGTACCTGTATTGTATACAACGCTTTTAAAAAGTTGATAATTTTTCGGACTCTCATAGAAGTAAGAGTACTATAGTCTTATTTATTTTATAACGATTACCAGAAAATACATTGTAGTTATTGGTGATATTTAGTTTTTTAGGGGTTTTTCAGTACAGATAAAATATGTATAATATTTTTTTGACAAATCAATATGGCATTCAGTTCTAAGCTTCTCAATCACGCTCTAAGATTTTTTTCAAAGGAATAATGCACTCTGTTCAGTAAAGTACCCTATTGTACAAAGTGCAATGTATTTTTATCATTATCAAATGTCACTTCTGCTATACTGTCACTTCCAGTAAACGAATCTAATGAAAACGTTTATTAAAATCCATTGAGCCGTTTAGATTCCAGAGCGTGCCAAAAAATATACAACATATTCGAAAAATATAACCTTTCTTCTGACGCAGTCGGTTGAAAAAACCTACTCAATAAAATAACTAAATTAACTAACACATACTACTTTTACTTAATACTATTAATTAAATTAACAAAATAATGTCTTCAAGTATTAAGTAGTTAGTTACTGTATAAAATCGGGCTTAAATTGGTTTCAATGTCTGCATGCGATTTATGTGGTAATGTTGCGACTAGACTATCTAAGTCGGAGCGCGTCAAAAATGTAACAGCATCTTAGAAGATCATCTCATCCCAAAAAGGTCGCTATGTTGTCAAGAAATATATGAATCGTCATACAGTGTTTGTTAATTGAAGCATGAATTTATATTGACAATATAATAAATACAACGTCGTCACAATATGTCGTCAAAGCAAGAAATTATCGAAGAAACTGAATACGAAGAGAAACAAAACAGAGGAAATGAAATAGATTTCAATAATAAAATTATTTATGAAAACTAATAAATTTATCTACTATTAGTAAATACAAATGAGCCGGAAATAATGATTTATTGTCGTACTGAACCTACAGATTAAAAATTTCGAATTCGAAATTTTAAATAAACGAGAAAGTTCTTCAATGAAAATTGAAGCGACTCCGGTAGCGTAGTTACACAAATACACTGCACCATTCGCGTGTAATTCAATGATCAACTGCGTTATAACTGCACAGTAATAATTACGATGCACTTAAAAATATTCATATGAGCGTAGGCCTGATTAATGCTGACTGGGGGTGAACTTTGATAATTTCATTGATGAACTCCGTCATGTGTGTGCAGAATGCAATTAAGCGCATCATTGCATAGTCCCCGGCAAGTCTCGATACCGAACAATTTACAATTTGGCAAAAGTTGTCCCGTGCTAATTTTCGCATCAGTTTCAATGACGCATTTACGATTCAAAGTCATTGCAATTATTGCCGTCGATGAATGTTCGAATGAGGATTTTAGGTCGCTGTGGTCATTGGGACTACACAACCCCTTCCACACAAAATACAATGCAATACAGTCGTAATTACTTAAGTAAAGCAAATCATTATCTCCAATCATTGTTGTAGCGCAGACAATACAATTAGTTCATTCCATAATGGATTCAATCACGACTGAAGGCGTTACGCCGGAATTCCGGTCAAACACCGCCCGCCTTTGATTAGCACTCTCATCTAACTGAGGAGTATGCCAAACGTGAATATAGAACGGTCTGTTCGCCCTCGGAGGTTGATAAGGACTTCGGATTAGTTACGATCGTTAACGTGCTCTGTGAAATTATACTTTCCCTCATAATCTTCGGCTTATATACAATGCCGCGTTATATGTCGAGGCCCTAGTGCTCTCACTTTGGGGCCGTGATGGAAATTAAAAAAAGTAAATGAAAAAAACATATTTCTGCTGTTATCTTGTGTTTTTTTTTATTTATTCTATCAACTTCTGTCGCAATATATCTACCAAAATATATAGTTTAAGCGAATACGTAGGACATGCGGGGCCCCCGTGTGCTCTTATGGTACAAGACGGTACTGGTTATATACATATGTTAAAATTCATTGGCCATATTTCTGGACGTCAACTATGATTTATATTAAGAACTTATAACACGCAAATGTCCAAAGGCGTCTTATGTTTTGACAATAACAACATCGCTCATCAAGAGAATATTAAATCCAGGGTTATTTCGTTTTGTTTCTAATATCCATAGGTTAATTTAAGCGGTTTTACGTTGTCAATTTCATTGATTTCATAATGTCAGATGACAAGGCGTATACGGTTTAAGATTTCCTTAGAATTTGAGTGACTCTTTCAAAATTTTGTTCTATAACGAATGTAAATGGGATAAGTAGAGACCAATTGTTTGCAATGCCCCGAATCCCATGCGCCGTAAAATCGAATCTAATAAACGTGCCATCATTACCCAATCAGTTCGAGAATTGTCCTATTAACAGGGGAATATGCCGCGCCATATATTTATGTGCAAACCTTGCGCTTTGAACGCTTACCAACGAGAATTGTCACATAGAGATTATGAAAAAGGGTATCGTGTGCACTTGGGCTGGCCGGACAGCAAATATATTGAAGCTAAAAAGAAACTAGCTCAGACTATTGGACAGGCTCACCCGGGGACGTACCACGGTCGTACTTTCGCGTTTCGTCTGGTGAATGAGTCATGTTCTTAGGTGTTGTAGACGACCATCGGCGGCGTTATTCACTTAACATCAGCTGACCAACTTCACGTCAACTGGAAGCTCGCTCGACAAATTTTACATAAAAAACCGCCCAATTTTCAAAAGGTTGTTTGCTTGGTTGGGCTTAAAAATAACTATGAGACTTGTATAATGTCTAATATAATGTAATGTAAAATTTGTAAGACATATACCTATTACGCAATATTATACACAATGGAAAACGCAAGGTCTGTTCGTCTTTCGCTCTTTTAACTCTGACTATCTACCATCAGAAAATTTTAAGAACTTACAGTTAGTGCAGGATACCTTCCACGTGGTGGTATATTTTTTTTGAAAAACACAAATTCATAACATACATGAGTTTAACATTTCAAAGAATAACTTATTAAAAACTAGCTGTTGCCAGCCACTACGTCCGCGTGGAATAGGGTGAAAGCGAAAAATTCAGACATACAGACAGATATCTATACATATAATAAAAGTGTCACTTGTCTTTGTCTGTACATGGAAGATATTTGAGAAAAACTATTATTAAAGGTCTCCCTTTATCAACGCAATATAACCATAAACAACTGATGTTAAAATTGTTGTCTGTGTTTATGTGCGTTCGTTCGCGCTAATCTCTGAAACGGCTTAGCCGATTTGGGTACAACTTTCACTAATGCACGGGGTACTTAGCATTTAGTGTTAGTTTTATTCAAATTTGTTGTTAAATAAAAAAGTTATCAACTTAAAAAAATGTCTGTTAGGTCTGCAAAATAATGATGATTGTTAGATTATATAAATTTAAAAACCACCCAAGTGCTAGTTGCAACCAGGGGTTCCATACCATAATCTATAAAAAAGGCATGTCTGTTGTATGAGAGCCCCACTTAAAAAAAAATATTATAGCGACAATAGATATACATCTGTGAAAATTTTAAGCCATACCTGCCCATTTTTCTCAGAAAGGATATTCATTCTGCTTTCTCAAATTTTAACAGAACATCGGAAAATTGTTGGGCATATAAACGGAGGCCGCACTTAACCATTAACCGAAACTTATGTTTTTGAGATCAGAGATAAGAACGTTCCTGTGAGGTATTTATTTCTTTGCTTTAGTCCCCTGAGCAATGAGAGGAAGGGTTTCGAAAATCTCCAGAGAAAACAACTGTGAAGTTCCCAATTGGCCTTTCATCTCGGTGTATGCACTGTAGTGTTCTGTCAACAGGTGCTCAGTCAAAATTCACTCTCAGTTTACTTTTTTACTTTACGAAATGTCTATAACCTATAACTCACTCCAATGTGCGAGATAATGAATGGCGTCTATGGCGAAATGGGTATCAACACAAAGTCGTGTTTGGTTTTCATAGATCGTTGAGATCCAATCGTTCTCATTGTTTTTAATTCTATCGAGGCATTTTTGTAATAAATACTAAAAGGTCGATAGGTCGAAAGGTCTAATAATTTTTTTTACATAAATTCAATTATTTAGAAAATACCACAAAATAAGTATCTTAATTGCAAAAAAAAGTCCGTTTTGTCCGTTGGTCGCCCTAGGCTCATATAAGATTAAGGAGAAAAGACTCGCTGGAAGGCACAAAAATTATCCTATAATTTGCGAGTATTCACATAACTTTTTTTAAGTGAACCAATTGCAATAAAACAAAGCTTTAATATTGCACAAAATTAATCTTGAATAATTTCAAAAACACCATACAAATTAGTTCAGTAGTTGGATAACTGTGATAACTTCATGCGACTGCACTGCTTTAATCTTAGAACTCCCATATCTCCCGTTTGAATAAACCGATTGAGATGAAACAAAGCCTAAATCTTGCCCCAAGCTTTGCTTAAGTAACCAGTGCTGCATCAAAATCCGAAGTAGTTTTCAAGTTTATCGCGAAAAGATAGACAGACAGACAGAAAAAAATTCCAAAAATTGTTTTCTGGTTCCTATAACTCTTTTTATGATACCCTATTTCATTTTTTCATAAATATATTCAATGTAAAGACACGCCGATTCTACTCTTTTATTATAGTATAGATAAGTTTCAAATAAGATTTCTAAACACAAAATTTGTAACGAATTATTTACTCCAATAAGAAACGTAAAATTAAACGTTTTTATTTTATTTTATCGCGTCCGCCAAGCAATTTAATGCTACGAACTCACTTTAAACGCTGTGAGTTTAAATTAAACACGACGGAATCAGTAAAGATAGTTTTATTTTTAAAAGCATCTGTGAGCAAGGTTTCAACTTTTTTCCGGCGTATAATGAAAAGAGATCTAGAGAGGTCCGAGCGAAAAATTAGTGTAAATGTTGCAGGACTGTCATTTAACTTATAAGTCTAAAATGATAATATCTCAAAACTACGTACGGAAATGTATTTTTAAAACACAAATTATTTTTTGATTATAAAGTTTTAATCGAATTAAAACGTTTCGATACACACATTGCGGCTGCGATATCCCGATGTAATAATTGTATCATTACCATGGAAATTGTGCCGGGCACTACGTTAATGCAAGTGCGGTTATCGCCTGTTCCACGCCTGATAATACAATTAAGCTATCGATATAGAGACATGATTAAAGTTATCATCTCGTCTATATGCAAGCAAAAATAATTGGTTAAATATAGCGGCGGCAAGAATTAACATAACCGCGTCTATTGTTCTTAGTGATGATATCGATTAGCGAAAAGTCGCTCGTTATAAGCGACCATTACAACAGTATTAATTCCTCTCGTCGGTTCCCTTATATATAGAGACCACAATTAAGTCGAAATGTAGAACTTCTATCGGAACATGACAACCTTTTACACAAGCTCAGCACGAAAACATTTGTTTTATTTTATACAAATACAGGATTCGGATATAAACCGGTTCAAGTCTTGTGGCGTTTTCAATGGTAAGGCAAAGATAAACTTTACTACAAAAACACAACACATACAGAGGTTAATAAAAGGCTCAATATTTTGTTACGCTCTCGGGATATATCCTCTAATATACTGGGTTTCGGTATGTATGAAAAGCATATTGTAATTAAAAAACAAAAATCGCCATTAGTGATAGTGGCGCCATTGAGTCTACCAAATAAAATTGCAGTACTGATTTACCAAAGGATACCTCTATCTGCATGTATATGGAAAAAATTAAAAGTATGTTCTACAACATATAACGTCTGCCAATCTGAGAGGAAGTTGTACTTACAATAGTCTATACAATAATATGCTTTTCCTCAAAAGTCTTTTACTTTACCTTTAATACATAAACCTGACTTAATTAGCTGTTTAAACTAATAATTTATCTAATAAGTCGAAGGGCGAAAAATGGATTTAGCTAGGTTTCATGTTTAGAAAATGTCCTTTTATCCCTGTTTTCTAGGGAATGAAAAATATGATTCGAATATGAGGGTAAATTTCGCTGAAAAAAAATGTTATAATAGATCGGTCGGTAATCGGGCGGCCCCGAAACAGAAGGCTGCGGTTCGTGTCACGATCATTTACACACTTATTTTTTTTACTTTTTTTCTATACCAGATCATTGCTTTCTTTATTTTTTATTTTTTTAATTTCCAAAATACATGATTTATCAAAAATAACCGAGCAAAGGGTTTTTTTTTTGGTAAATCGTGTATTATTATTATTATCCAGGTTCTTATTATCCAGGTACTTCACTTTAAATAGCGAACATTGAGCACGTTTTTTGGTTTTAGAGAATAACGTTAGTAAAAAACGTTGAATAGACAAAAAGAGACAATGAATATTGTCAACGGTATAACATTTCTTTAGCAAACACGATTATTAAATGGATAAAATATCTGATGCAATACATCCACATGTGAATATCACGTTTCGGAGCCCAAATCAAGGTAAGGAGTTTTCTAATAATTCATTAACCCACTTCAAAAAGAAGGAGGTTCTATATTCAACTGTATGTATTTTTTTTTATGTATGTTCACCGATATCTCCGCCATTGATTAACCGATTCTCAAAATTCTTTTTTTTATATGAAAGAGTATACTCCTGAGGTCCCATTGGCACCAAGTCTGGATCTGATGTTGGAATCCCAGGGAAATCGAGGGCAAACCTCAAATGTTATATAGGTGTTAACAATGTTTTTCATATATTTTCTAAAGCTATTGAGACATTTGGGTATGGTCATCATCATGTCATGACGCTGAGTTGATGAAGTGATTAACAGTGATTTAATATTCTAGAATAATGTATAGATTGTCGTTATAGAGAATTGATTTTTCTGGCGAAAAAAGAGTGAGTGCTAAACTAGAAGTATTGATCATTTAATTGTCTTTAAGAAGAGAAGGAAGAGGTTATCAATTCGGATGTTTACATGTTTTTTTTAAATATGTTCTAGGGTTTATTACCCGCCATATACTTTCTTTTTTTCGAAAGGTTTTTATCTGAAACGGACCCATTTAAATTTCATATACATCTGATGATGAGTTTCGGAGATAGACAACAGAAGTCTTCAAAAAATTACAGCCAGTCAACCGTGATTGCTGCTATCGCATAAATCTGCATTGTTTTTCGCAACCATATAACATAACATCACGTCTGTACACTGGAAAAGGTTAAGCAGGTATAGCTGAGAACGCGAAAACAGCGTATTTACGAAATTAACACGCTGTTTTCGCGTTTTTCAGCTCACTTGTGTGAATTGTTAGCGTCTACATTTCTGACGGTGGGATAAATTCAAACTGCAGTTCCGTGTCATTTTATTTGCTTGTTATCGTTTTCCTCTTTCAGTTATAGTTTTAGTTTTATCGCTGTTTTCTCATACGAGCTGTCTTTGCTATGTATTCCCTAATTTTATTATACCGAAGTATTCAAATTAAATCACTAAAAATAAAAAAATAAAAAGTTTTAACAAAAAATGAAGCGACTTCAAAAAGTTATAATACTATATCTGATATAATCAAACCTTGAAAATCTAGCTATATCACCTAACCTACCTATACTCTAACAAAATTTAACAAGT